GGCAGAATATGCCCAGAACTCTCTCCGCCACTCCTCTACTAACCTAACACCATTCCAATGTGTTTTAGGTTACCAACCGGTTCTGGCACCGTGGCACCAGAGCCAGACTGAGGCTCCTGCGGTGGATGACTGGTTTCGGCGCGCGGAGGAGACGTGGGACGCTGCTCAAGTTCACCTCCAGCGCGCTGTGCGTCGTCAGAAGGCCAACGCTGACCGTCACCACAGTGAGGCCCCGGTCTTTGTACCAGGGGATCGGGTCTGGCTCTCGACCCGGGGGCGGGGGGGGGGGGGGTTGTTAATGTCACGACTTCGGCCGAGGCTGCCTCCCCTCCTTGTTCGGGCAGGCTTCGGCGTTCGTCTTGTCTCGTTATCACACACACCTGGTTCTAATCCCCTAATTAGTCAGTGTATAAGTATTCCCTCTGCCCCCTTGTCCTTGTGGGTGATTGTTTATTTGTGAAGGTTAGTGAAGCTCGGTGGAGCGCGTGTATTTCGTTCGACGGAAGTATTTTCCCATGTGCATTGTATTTTCCAGTGCACCTGTTTTGTGCCCTGGAGTGTGTTTTACACATTTCTGCATAACCCTGTATTTTTGCGGTTTAAAGCCTGTTATTCTGTGATTTACCCTCCTGCGCCTGACTCCTTCAACACCACCTTCATCACACACAGAGTTCAAGTAACAGACACATGTCAACAACAACTGTTCAGAGGAGACTGTGTGAATCAGGCCTTCATGGTCGAATTGCTGCAAAGAAACCACTACTAAAGGACACCAATAATAAGAAGAGACTTGCTTGGGCCAAGAAACACAAGCAATGGACATTAGACCGGTGGAAATCTGTCCTTTGGTCTGATGAGTCCAAATTTGAGATTTTTGGTTCCAACTGCCGTGTCTTTGTGAGACGCTCAGTAGATGAACAGATGATCTCCGCATGTGTGGTTCCCACCGTGAAGCATGGAGGAGGAGGTGTGATGGTGTGGGGGTGCTTTGCTGGTGACACTGTCAGTGATTTATTTACAATTCAAGGCACACTCAACCAGCATGGCTACCACAGCATTCTGCAGCGATACACCATCCCATTTGGGTTGCGCTTTGTGGGACTATTATTTGTTTTTCAACAGGACAATGACCCAAAACACACCTCCAGTCTGTGTAAGGGCTATTTGACCAAGGAGAGTGATAGAGTGATGCATCAGATGACCTGGCCTCCACAATCAACCGACCTCAACCCAATTGAGATGGTTTGGGATGAGTTGGACTGCGAGTGAAGGAAAAGCAGCAAACAAGTGCTCAGCATATGTGAGAACTCCTTCAAGACTGTTGGAAAAGCATTCCAGCATTCAACCAGCATTCATGAAGCTGGTTGAGAGAATGCCAAGAGTGTGCAAAGATGTCATCAGGGTGGCTACTTTGAAGAATCTAAAATCTAAAATATACTTTGATTTGTTTAACACTTTTTGGTTACTACATGATTCCATATGTGTTACTTCATAGTTTTGATGTCTTCACTATTATTCTACAATGTAGAAAATAGTACAAATAAAGAAAAACCATTGAATGAGTAGGTGTGTCCAAACTTTTAACTGGTACTGTAACTCTGGGTCTTCCTTTCCTGTGGCGGTCCTCATGAGAGCCAGTTTCATCATCGTGCTTGATGGTCCTCTGTAGCTCAGCTGGTAGAGCACGGTGCTTGTAACGCCAAGGTAGTGGGTTCGATCCCCGGGACCACCCATACACAAAAAATGTATGCACGCACGACTGTAAGTCGCTTTGGATAAAAGCGTCTGCTAAATGGCATATTATATTATATTATTATATATTATATTTATGGTTTTTGCGAGTGCACTTGAAGAAACTTTCACATTTCTTGAAATTTTCCGGATTGACCTTCATGTCTTAAATTAATGATGGACTGTCGTTTCTCTTTACTTATTTGAGCTGTTCTTGCCATAATATGGACTTGGTATTTTACCAAATAGGCTTCTGTATACCACCCCTACCTTGTCACAACACAACTGATTGGCTCAAACGCATTAAGAAGAAAATAAATTCCACAAATTAACTTTTAAGAAGGCACACCTGTTAATTGAAATGCATTCCAGGTGACTACCTCATGAAGCTGGTTGAGAGAATGCCAAGAGTGTGCAAAGCTGTCATCAAGGCAAAGGGTGGCTACTTTGAAGAATCTCAAATATAAAATATTTTTGATTTGTTAACACTTTTTTGGTTACTACATGTTTCCACTTGATGTTTTCACTATTATTCTACAATGTAGAAAATAGTACAAATAAAGAAACACCCTGGAATGAGTAGGTGTGTCCAAACCTTTGACTGGTACTGTATTTTTAACTAAGGTCTGTGTATTTAGATCTATACATTTAGATAATATAATCATATACTCATGTTCATGCAGTAATACAACTGATTGATTATTACACTGTTGCAATATTTCGATGCAGCGGTCACTGAGCCTTATAAAGCTTCTGATTAATGCTGTTTTTGTAGGAGACTTGAAATGTTATCCCCTAAAGGCTCCATAAAAACATATTCAAATTGGAGTTCACAACATTTCTGACAGAGAACATTGCATACCGTCCTGCATTTTTACATGTACCCAAATCTTCAATCTCTCTGAGAATCTCTCATGGCCATCTACTGGGTGTATGACTGACCAGGGTTGGGGTCACTTCCATTTCAATTCAGTCATTTCAGAAAGCAAACTGAAATTCAGTGAATTGAAATGGAATTGACTCCAACCCTGTGGTCTAACTTTACTCTATTGAATAAATTCTAGATACTTCTCTGGCCACTGTGACCATTACGTGGCAGCCTGGTTGACTGAGGTGGTCAAGGTTACTGTAAGGCCTGTAGTGTGGGTTGGGCTTCCCTGAGGTTTCGGTCACGTTCCCAGGGGACGGTGGTGAGGCCCTGAGACCTGTTTACCTTGGAGGCCAAGGTGGGCTCCTGCATGGGGACTTCTGTTGGTGGGCCGGACACTTGTCCTCGAGATGATATGTCACTATAAACTAATGCAAAGGTGTCATCAGAATCCATAATATTTCACACTGTTTACATACTGTACCTGTTTAGATGTTAAGGGACAGAGATGACAGGGCTTTGAAGTACACCTTTTTAAAATGTCATAAGGCTGTCATATAACTAATTACAACATTCTCTTCTCATGTACTATCTCCTATTCTTTGTTACAGTGTTGCTTGGGCGCCACCTTCTTGTAAGTGCTGGGCTGTGTGTGTGTCACACAGACACACACAGACACACACACAGACCAGCACTTACAAGAAGGTGGCGCCCAAGCAATGTGTGTGTCATCAGGACTGGACTGACATGGGCAGGGGGAGGGGCAGGGGGAGGGGCAGCGTTTGCAGCTTCACCCACTAACTGAGGAGCTGTACTCTCACTTCCTTACACATGCAAACACACACACACACACACACACACACACAGCCTCGCTTGGAGTGGTCAGGCAAGGCAGCAGCATGCTTCCCACTCTCTCACCTCCCCTGCTCCTGCTCCAGCCATACAGACATGATGCTCCAGGAGAGCACTACACCAGACTGTTACACGAGCTATCTGCATAACAGAAGCTGATGTGCTGCAGTCTGATGTGCCTCACTTTTACCTCATTTTCTTTCTCCTTTTTCATTGGAATTTGAGATCAATAATTACCTAAATATACAGGAGGTATTTGGAGGCAGCTGGCTGGACCTGTCTCAAGGGGGTTTCCCCAACATTACCCTCTCGCTGAAGGTCTTACTCTGAACCATATAGAATTGGGCAGAATAAATGCACGTTTGCAAAGATATCTCTATTTTGGATCTTAGAAAGTTTGCAAAGAAATCTATTTTTGGGATCTTGGAAAGTTTGCAAAGATATCTATTTAGGGGAATTTGCAGACTGAAGAAAACCTTTTTGTGGATAACTTGTTTTGGAAATCTACTCCATGTGAGTATTTTTCATTTGGTGTATTTGATGTGTATTTGGAAGTACCAGAAAAGCCTATCGCTGTGCTTAGACAGATTATTTACTAGATAGTTCAGTATTAGTCTAGGTATTTCAGTATTAGTCTAGGTATTTTAGTATTAGTCTAGGTATTTCAGTATTAGTCTAGGTATTTCAGTATTAGTCTAGGTATTTCAGTATTATTCTAGGTTTTTCAGTATTAGTCTAGGTATTTCAGTATTAGTCTAGGTATTTCAGTATTAGTCTAGGTATTTCAGTATTAGTCTAGGTAATTCAGTATTAGTCTAGGTATTTCAGTATTAGTCTAGGTATTTTAGTATTAGTCTAGGTATTTCAGTATTAGTCTAGGTATTTCAGTATTAGTCTAGGTATTTCAGTATTAGTCTAGGTAATTCAGTATTAGTCTAGGTATTTCAGTATTAGTCTAGGTATTTTAGTATTAGTCTAGGTATTTCAGTATTAGTCTAGGTATTTCAGTATTAGTCTAGGTATTTTAGTATTAGTCTAGGTATTTCAGTATTAGTTTAGGTATTTCAGTATTAGTCTAGGTATTTCAGTATTAGTCTCGGTATTTCAGTATTAGTCTAGGTATTTCAGTATTAGTCTCGGTATTTCAGTATTAGTTTAGGTTTTTCAGTATTACCAGGTGGTCTTGTTTAGTAGACAGAATTGATGTCGGGCGCAGGAATCAAAGGTGGCTCAGAAAGTTGTTGAGTTGTTCAGCAACTGTATCTATGCTGCCAAGTAAAAACCACCAGATAAGTAGCAGTAAGGTAAGTGGGGTTTTCTGTACCACCTACAGTACGTCCCTCAACACATATCATACTCAACAAATGAAATGGGCATTAAGTCTTCCATTTCAATGGTGTTATTGTTGTTTTCTATTTATGTTTGCATGGGGCCATTTCAAATAAATCATTGGTATTACGTATTTTACAACACCTTAATAAACCATGCTATGTACACAGTTGATACTGTACATACTTTAGTTCCTGGTGAATAGCGATACAATGAAGGGATGGAACGTGTTGTCTGTTGCGTGTTCCAGAGTTCCAGAATGCTGTGTTCCAGGGGCATGTTCCAGCAGTGGAGTCTAGCGGTGTTCCTGCTGTGCTCCCCTGTCCCTCTCTATGGGAGACCCATCCATGCTCTCACTAACAGAATGTAAGTCTCTGTTTTTCAATAGTTTACAAACTGTAGATTCTTTCCATTTCACTGTCTATTCATTATCATATTACCTCCTTTTTGAATATTAAATGGTACAAGAAAAGGTAATGGCAGTAAATTAATCAATGACAACTTTTAAACCAATCACTGGAATCACTTTTAAGTTTGATGTATCACATGACTGCTTTATTCCATCCGTTGTTTGTTGATTTGAGAAAAGAGGTGTAGATATGCGGACAAGAATAGATCTACTGTATGTTCAGTGGTCTGAGTGTAGAAAAAGATGACAGAAGAACATCAAATGACATACATTTACATTTTATATTTTAGTCATTTAGCAGACGCTCTTATCCAGAGCAACTTACAGTTAGTGAGTGCATACATTTTCATACTGGCCGACATACTAAATTTGTATTTTTATTCAATACATTATATTATATACTTTATGGAATATATTTGATGGAATATAATATGTTTATGGAATATATTTGATGGAATATAATATGTTTATGGAATATATTTGATGGAATATAATATGTTTCTGGAATTTTTTAAATAATTGGTCAATCGTCTATATTTTAGACCTGCATGTACAGTATTTGAGTTGTCTCATGTGAAAACAAAAGTTATCATGAATTCACGCCTACATGAATCCTAACTCCCTGCGTTAAAGTTTGGATTGACATTTTGGTGGTGCGGGTGACATGTTTTTGGTGTTAAATATATGCGTCATAGCATGTTATGGTCCTTTCTCACATTATAGTGTTCACATAGAACAGCTTCCAGCTTCCACTGTCTTGTTTATGCTACCCACCTATTAAAGGTCTACTGGAACATGACCTTGGCTGTCATTCAACAGTCAACGCCTCACAAGTAGGTCGTTCAGAGGCACTGTACTGTACTGTAGGTAGGTACCACTGTACACAAGACAGCTGTAAGAGAAAGTGATAGGTTGATAGGTAGGGTTGTAAATACAATCTCTGCGAAGATTCAGTGTCTCCTACTGAGACTCAATTTGTCAGCTCTCTCTGGTGCTCCTGAAGGGGTGTTGCAAAGAGACCAACTCCATTTAATTTGACTTAATTGAAATGGAGCTGTCCCCAACCTGAGATTATTTTCCTTTGCCATCTACTCTTACAAAGAGAGTGAGTCCAGTTTAAACAATCTCCTTCTCCCCTCTCCATTCAGGAGGAGGTCAGTGAGCCACGCCCAGCTGATGCACGACAAGGGCCGTTCCCTGCATGAGTTCAAGAGACGCCAGTGGATCCAGCAACTACTAGACCAAGTCCACACGTCCGACAGCGAGCGAGCCCCACCTCCCCAGAGCAGGAGCAACGCCAATGGGGGCAACGCCAATGGGGGCCACAGCACCTTCAGCGGGAGCTCTCTATCCTCCCCAAAACCCTCTGGAGGGACCAAGAACCTCCCCCTGAGCTTCCGGCTGGGAGGGGAGGGGGGCAACCTCCCCCAGGAGACCAACAAATCTCTGGCCTACAAACACCAACCGCTGAAGGTGGTCACCAAGAGGAAAAAGAAGGTGAAGGGAGAGAGAGGGAGACGGAAGGAGAGTGAGAAGAGGAGGCGGAGGGCTCGCTCTGTAGTCACAAGTCTTACGACACAAAGAGAGGAGTCACAGAGGACACAAGACACTGGGTGACAAACATACTTCATGATGTAGCCTTTGGGTGGCGCTGCACTAAGGACTCTGACTGACAAAGATTCCAGCATCAGTGACTGAGACTCAGACTAATGTCTCAAAGACTCACAAACGGTTGAAACAACTGGTCTCTCCATACCTTGGCCATAGATCTTTGCTTTTGTTGTTTTAATCTGCTGCTTTTTCCTTGTGCCTTGATATACAGTAATATGTTGCTACTTTTATAATAACACAAATTACTTCTGTATCCATATTTATTAGGTAAATAATATGCGGATCATCAGCAGTGTTAAATGAATCTTAACTCATCCCTAGTCAGATAACAATGTAAGACAGGTGCCCTTCAGGGGCAATTTACTGTATCTCCCTAATTCCCTTCAAATCAAGTCCAATCAGATGTCCATATGTAAAGTAGAACATAGCCTACACGGTAAACGTCACGCATAAAATATTTATTGTCTGTACATATTTAAATTCACAAAATGAGGGAGGATCATTCTTTTTTTTAGTGCTCGGTAGCTTTTTAGATAGTTGATATTGTGAATATATAATTTCTTGTCTGTAGTTAGTATTATAAAATCCATAACAAATGTTTCTACCATAATTTATTTCATTTGAACTGTGTATTTATTTTGTGAATGTATTACCGTGCTGCTGACTTTCAATATTTTATAATAACATAAAATGCACTTTAGATATAATGATTATATCCATATGTTTTGTTAAGTTACATTATTCTAAGTGTTCTCTTTTGTGGTTGATTTTGATTAAGAAAGAAAATGTTCCTTTCTGTTGATAAACACTTTCTTTTTTATTTCTTCTTGGTTTATAATATACCCAATCATCTCATTGACCAGTAAGTTATTGGATCGTCCATCAAATTCTCTCTAGTTTTAAAGTCTATTTTTTATCAAAATAAGCCAGTTTAAACTGTTGGTATGGTTACAGACTTGTTAAGATTCATTTCATGTTTAGCATTTGCACTGAGAGCACAATCATTTAAAACAATAATCAAACCAAAGATTAAAAGCTTTGTGAATACATTGTGTTCTCTCTTTATGTGATGTAGTACAATCAAATACTCTGTCCCACTATTTTCCGATATCAAGTCTCTCATTGATGGTGGAGTTATCAAAGAGAAATTAATCAATGTAGTTGTTGACTGTTCAGTGAGAGCAAGGGTTGTTTATGTCACATTAGAGAACCATGTGGTGTGTTTTAACAGCCTCTCTCTAACTGAATGGACTGTATATATGGGCTGCATCCCAGATGGCACCCTATTTCTTTTATAGTGCTGGGCCCTGGTCAAAAGTAGTGCACTATATAGGGAATAGGGTGCCATTTGGGACACAATCATGGACCTGCTGGTAATGGAGGAGAGGGGAGAGAGTAAATACACCAGGCAGCAGAGTTAGTAGACTAGCTACATCCTGTCCTAAGAACCTTGGCTGAGGCCATTAGCTAGACAGTCATAAACATAGTAGAATGTCCTGATAAAGAACCCATCAGAAGACTGGAGCTCCACAGCCCTGAATAAATCAATGTAACAATGGACAGAGGCATTAATAACTCACTCACTGAGAGAGACAGAGGAGGGTAAGAGGGAGCGAGGAGGGAGGAGGCAAAGGGGGAGGGAGGGAGAGATGAGGGAGAGGAGGGAAAGAGGGGGAGAGGGAGAGGAGGGAAAGAGGGGGAGAGGGAGAGGAGGGAGAGAGGGAGAGGGGGGAAAGAGGGGGAGAGGGAGAGGTGGGAGGGAGGGAGAGGAGGAAAAGAGGGGGAGAGGGAGGGAGGGAGGGAGAGGAGGGAGGGAAAGAGGGGGAGAGGAGGGAGGGAGGGAGGGAGGGAGGGAGGGAGGGAGGGAGGGAGGGAGAGGAGAGGAGAGGAGGGAGGGAAAGAGGGGGAGAGGAGGGAGGGAGGGAGGGAGGGGAGAACACACAACAGAACACATAACAGAACAAGAAGGATCCTTGTTCTATGAAAGGTCAGAGAAGGCCTGTGATAGGTGTTTTCGTTCTTGTAATAAGACCTCTCACTTTATCACTTCCATGCAACCACTATAATAGCCTACAGTAATTGCCATAGAAACTGCCAATGTCAAAAATGTTCTCTGAAAAAATACAAGATGCAACAATACAACTCAGAATATATACATTCATACAGTCATAAACCTCTGTGCAATTCAAAACACTGGAGTGTGCGTCTGTGTGAGTCTGTATCTTTAAACTCAGTCAATCAGAATCAATTTGACCTGAGTGAGTGATGTTTGCCTTTCTTTGCTCCATAGTCCGCAATCAAAGTTCGAACCTTTTAATACAGAGAGTCAAGGATCTCACACGCAAGACCGTTTTCTTAAACAGTTTTCATCATTATGGGGACCTTCTAAATTAAATTCAAGGGATGGCTGCGAATTCACCCATGTCGAGGGAACACGGCAATTTATCTTGGTACAAATGAACTTCACTCAATAAACCAAGAGTATGGTTGTCACGTTCGTCGAAGTGAGTAGACCAAGGCGCAGCGTGAGATTTGTACATCTTATTTAATTAAGTGCACATACAATAAACAAAACAACAAACGATACGTGACGTCCACGGTACAAACACAAAACCAACTGGTACAACCCGAAAGGAACAAGATCCCACAAACACTAAGGGAAAACAGACTGTTTAAATATGGCTCCCAATCAGAGACAACCAGCAACAGCTGACACTTGTTGCCTCTGATTGGGAACCACTCTGGCCAACATAGAAATACAAGAACTAGACTGAAAACATAGAACAAAACACATAGAAACTACACACCCTGGCTCAACATATAGAGTCCCCAGAGCCAGAGTGTGACAATGGTGAGTACACCACAAGAGCAGAACAGGCTCATCCAAACTATTATTTCAGAAACAGAGCATGTCAATGTAGTTTTACTATAATAATAATGATAAGATTTAGCCTGTTTTTTCCCCCAGTTATTTGTGGTTATAACTCCTAAATCAAGCTAATTGTATTCCAAGTATATAAAGTCTATTTTGTCTTCACCAAAAATGAAGCCTTGCTTTTGCAGGGTGAAATGGAATTACACCAAACATTAACTAAGCCTTGCCTGTATCTCACAACAGGCTGTCCCCAACACGTTCTCCCTGATCTTCTCCTGTACCTGCGGGGTGATCCTGGGCATCGGTTTCTGTGCCAACCTGCTGGTGTTCTCTCTCTCTAGTACAACACCCTGAGGAAGAACCGGCTGGATATCCTGCTGCTCAGCATGGCAGACTTCCTCAGCCTGCTGCGCATCCCCTTCACACTGCACTCAGGTAGGTTATTGATTTATCCCTTATTTTACCAGGTTAGTTGACTGAGAAGACATTCTCATTTACAGCAACGACCTGGGGAATAGTTAAAGGGGAGAGGGGATGAATGAGCGAATTGGAAGCAGTGGATGATTAGGTGGCCATGATGGTACGAGGGCCAGATTGGGAATTTAGTCAGGACACCGGGATTAACACCCCTACTCTTACGATAAGTGCCACGGGATCTTTAGTGACCACAGAGAGTCAGGATACCCATTTAACCTCCCATCCGAAAGACAGCACCCTACACAGGGCAATGCCCCAATCACTGCCCTGGGATATATATTTTTTTAGACGAGAGGAAAGAGTGCCTCCTACTGGCCCTCCATCACCACTTCCAGCAGCATCTGGTCTCCCATCCAGGACCAACCCTGCTTACCTTCAGAGGCAAGCTAGCAGTGGGATGCAAGGTGGTATGCTTCTGGCTGTTAGAGGTCAGAGAGCATGGCTCTGGCAGACTTCCTCACCTTGCTGCTCATCCCCTTTACCCTACACTCTGCAGTCGGGTAGGTTGCCGGTTCGAATCCCAGGTCTGACTGGAAAATTCTGGTGGGCCAGCAACCTGAGAGTTGAATCCAGGAAGAAGAAAAAAAACACACTTAGAAAACTGTTGAGATGGGGATGTGAGCCAGTTACTATACTGGAGGGTTGAGACGGGGATGTGAGCCAGTTACTATACTGGAGGGTTGAGATGGGGATGTGAGCTAGTTACTATACTGGAGGGTTGAGATGGGGATGTGAGCCAGTTACTATACTGGAGGGTTGAGATGGGGATGTGAGCCAGTTACTATACTGGAGGGTTGAGATGGGGATGTGAGCCAGTTACTATACTGGAGGGTTGAGATGGGGATGTGAGCCAGTTACTATACTGGAGGGTTGAGACGGGGATGTGAGCTAGTTACTATACTGGAGGGTTGAGACGGGGATGTGAGCTAGTTACTATACTGGAGGGTTGAGATGGGGATGTGAGCTAGTTACTATACTGGAGGGTTGAGATGGGGATGTGAGCCAGTTACTATACTGGAGGGTTGAGATGGGGATGTGAGCCAGTTACTATACTGGAGGGTTGAGATGGGGATGTGAGCTAGTTACTATACTGGAGGGTTGAGATGGGGATGTGAGCCAGTTACTATACTGGAGGGTTGAGATGGGGATGTGAGCTAGTTACTATACTGGGGGGATGTGAGCTAGTTACTATACTGGAGGGTTGAGACGGGGATGTGAGCTAGTTACTATACTGGAGGGTTGAGATGGGGATGTGAGCTAGTTACTATACTGGAGGGATGTGAGCTAGTTACTATACTGGAGGGTTGAGACGGGGATGTGAGCTAGTTACTATACTGGAGGGTTGAGATGGGGATGTGAGCTAGTTACTATACTGGAGGGTTGAGATGGGGATGTGAGCTAGTTACTATACTGGAGGGTTGAGATGGGGATGTGAGCTAGTTACTATACTGGAGGGTTGCTGGATTTCAAAAACATAAAAGCTGAGGACTTCCATTCCCCTGTGACAATGAATGAACAGTTCTTCTTCTTATACTCGTGGCCGCTGGGGGACACCACCTGCAAGGTTGACCAGTTCTTCCTGTCGGCGGGCACCTGAAGCCTGTGTGCCGTGTCTATGACTCGGGCCGTGAACATCATCAACCCCTACTACCCTCCCACCATGGCCCTGGTGGTCCTGGTGTTACCAGTCTGCCTCTCAGGATAGCCTGGGGCCTGGCCTGGCTGATTTTACTACCAGTCTGCCTCTCAGGATAGCCTGGGGCCTGGCCTGGCTGATTTTACTACCAGTCTGCCTCTCAGGATAGCCTGGGGCCTGGCCTGGCTGATTTTACTACCAGTCTGCCTCTCAGGATAGCCTGGGGCCTGGCCTGGCTGATTTTACTATCTGTCTGCCTCTCAGGATAGCCTGGGGCCTGGCCTGGCTGATTTTACTATCTGTCTGCCTCTCAGGATAGCCTGGGGTCTGGCCTGGCTGATTTTACTATCTGTCTGCCTCTCAGGATAGCCTGGGGCCTGACCTGGCTGATTTTACTATCTGTCTGCCTCTCAGGATAGCCTGGGGCCTGGCCTGGCTGATCTGTCTGTCCACCATGCAAGAGAACCACTACCAGGTAACAATGGCTTGGTTTGAAACTGTACCCTATTTGCTATATAGTGCCCAACCTTTTACCTGCTCCACTATATAGGGAATAGAGTGCCATTTCAGATGCATACAATGTGTAACAAGAGGCCTTATGTTTAATTCAAAGAATGTCACTGGAAGTAACCAGATCTGAAAGAAAAAAAAGCATTGTACTGTTATTTCATTTGCTAAAACAAAATGGTGTCCAATTAATGTGAGAAGACACAAACATTAAAATCCAGCAGGAGGTCCTGAGCCAGTACATGCTCTACTAACTACTTTGTCCCCGTGCTGGTGAGAACCTTCAACTACACCCGCCTGGCCTGCTTCCTCCACAAGAGCCCTGTCATGTCTGTAGCTAGCGCCCGCAACACACGGCGAGTCTCCCTCATGGTTCTTCCTGGCAGCCGGGACCTTCTCTGTCTGCTGGCTGCCCGGGTATGACGATGATGACGATGATGACTTCATTTTTCCATTAGGAAATTGTTTTAGCATCCTTTTCTTAAATGGCACCCTATTCACTATATAGTGCACTACTTTTGACCAGGGTCCATAGGCCCCTAAATAGTGAATACCTCTTCTGCTGACTCTTCTTCACTAGGTACATTATTGAGCTGTGCGTGTATGTCTCTACCGCCACGGCCACTCCTGGGAGATGTTCTACTTCATCTGCACCGTGCCTCAGTCCCTCCACCCCCTGTGTTAACCCTGTGCTGCACGTGCTGCTGTCTACGAGGAACCGCCACCGCAGCGGTGCCTGGCTGTTTAACTGCAACAGGAACAGAGCGCAGCCGCAGGTCGTCTGCGTCTCCACAGAGACCATGTAGAACCGCACACACCGGCCACCAGGGGGAGCTGGCTTTGCTTTGGCATGGGGCTAAGGCTAATCTCTAGTCTGGTTACCAGTCTGTTTTTAGCTTTATATATCATTCCACTCCTTGCCACTCCTGTCACGCTAAACTCTTTGGCATATGACACTGAGTACAAGGAGTGGAATGTTAGCTAAACAGACTCGTACCCAGGATAGACCAAGGAGTGGAATGTTCTCTGAACAGACTCGTACCCAGGATAGACCAAGGAGTGGAATGTTCTCTGAACAGACTCGTACCCAGGATAGACCAAGGAGTGGAATGTTAGCTAAACAGACTCGTACCCAGGATAGACCAAGGAGTGGAATGTTAGCTAAACAGACTCGTACCCAGGATAGACCAAGGAGTGGAATGTTCTCTAAACAAATATTGTGTGCGTGCTGGCCAGCTACTCAAAATTCAAAGAATGTCACACAAAAATGTATGCACGCATGACTGTAAGTCGCTTTGGATAAAAGCATCTGCTAAATGGCATATTATTTATTATTATTATTATATTATTATTATTATATTATTATTATTATTATTATAAATAATGTATATTTTATTTATGTTTCATCTGTCACAAGAGACAAGAGACTAGGCAAAACGCCTGGTTGCTATTTAGTGGTGGGGGGATCTTTTTAAAATCATTTCTTTCTACTCTTGTGAATCGAGTGCTTTTTTGTGGACAATTGAGAGGATCTTTGCACCTACAGTATGTTTGTGCTTCCCTGTATGTGAGAATCCTATCATGAGCTTTATATCGGAGTCCAGTTATAACAATTGATCAATAAGAAAACAATGTTAAAATAACTTTGATAAAGTCTGAATATGAACATCAATACAGTACATAGCATTACATTGCAGTGCAGTGCATCAGCTCACATTCATCGGTGAGGTTCCCGATGTAGTCTTGTTGTGTTGGTGTTTTACCGATCTGTTTCTTTCTCCAGTTACTTTCCCCTTCTTCTTTTTGTGTTTCATTTTTGCCGGAACAGAATGGCATGTGCTGTATATAGGATAAAAAGGGGGTCAAATGTTATTGTTTTAATGTTAAACTTGTTGTATTGTCAGGCACTAATCTGCCCTGACTATTTATATATTGTAAACTGGAATAAAAATTCCATTGTGTTCAGACAGGAATTTAATAGAAATGTCATTATATTAATTTGATTAATCAATTTAAACTTTTCGTTTGAGTCAGTTGTTTTGCATGCTGAAGTTACTTTTAGAACACAAACGGATTTGGGACCAGGCTAATGAAATGCCTCTCACCTTTGGAAACAGGCGGCTGAGTGTGAGTCGGTCCGCAGGTGGGTGAATATGGGGCAGGGTGGTCGCAGAAACAGCCATTCTATCCCTGCTGACATGCTGGGTAGCTCCTCCGGCTCAGAGACAAACTCCCTTACAGCAACCGGAGGCAGTGGCGGCAATCTATGAACAGAGATTCAATACATCCATCCTAAGGTACAATGGTTTGGCATGTCACCAGGGTTGGGGTCAATTCAATTTTAATTTAGGAAATATTCAGGAAGTAAAATTAAGTGAAAAGCAAAGGGAGAATTGGAATCGGATTTTCAGCTTATTTCCTCAATTGAAATGGAATTGACCCCAACCCTGCATGTCACAACATGGTAGTGACTATCCTGTTGATGAAATGTGTACAGCTCTGTTTATAAAGGACAGTTTGTTGCATCCTCAGCCTCCTGTAATGTACCTGTACCTCCTAACTCTTCACTCACCTTGGACAACCGCCATCCATGTTTTATCTTGTGTGACAATGTGTGTATGGATAACAGCCTTTGTTGCGTTGGCCGTTTTTGTTAGGAATATGGGGACAGCCTGGTGTCTGTCCCACTGTAGGTTGATCTCTTTGTACTACTGACCCTTGGAGAGTGTATTGTACTAGAGTACTCTCAGAGTATCTTAACGTGAGAAGAATAACAAATCAAATAGGCTTTGTTGGTAGATATTTGACTGTCTAATTGAGGTAATCTATTGAGATGTTAAACTGGGTGAAATGAAACAAGACAACAACAGATAAAGCTTGTAAACTGCACAACAATCAAATGACAGCACGTTTAATGAGTGCTCTTGGACAGGTAGAACTAGGGTTACTGTGTGAGGTCCTGGTATATCTGCTGCTCGTCTGTCTGTCTGTGGAGAATAAAGCCCATGTATGTTCTAGTGGCTGTCTCTGATATCCTTGGTCTTCCTGTTGTTGTCCTCTCAGCTCTGTCCTCCTTCAGCCCTAGTCGTGCCATAGGTGGCATTTACACTGGTGTCCCTGAGCTGTGCTGCACTTCTCCTGACTACACACACACACACACACACACACACACACACACACACACAAACACACACACACACTCACACACTCACACACACACACACACACACACACACACACACACACACACACACACACACACACACACACACACACACACACAAACACACACACACACACACACCATCACAGATCTATAATGTCTACCATTGTATGTTTACTGTAGGTACGTCAACATTTGTACATCTACGTATCCATATCTATGTACAGTACCAGTCAAAAGTTTGGGTTTTTCTTTATTTTTACTATTTTCTACATTGTAAAATAATAGTGAAGACATCAAAACGATGAAATGTTTTACATTTTAGTCATTTAGCAGACGCTCTTATCCAGAGCGACTCACAGTTTTTTTAGTGAGTGCATACATTTTCATACTGGCCCCCGGTGGGAATCAAACCCACAACCCTGGCGTTGCAAACGCCATGCTCTACCAATTGAGCTACACAGGACTATAACACACGGGAAATAACACATATGGAATAATGTAGTAACCAAAGAAGTGTTAAACAAATCAAAATATATTTTATATTTGAGATTCTTCAAAGTAGCCACCCTTTGCCGTGATGACAGCTTTGCACACTCTTGGCATTCTCTCAACCAGCTTCATGAGGTAGTCACCTGGAATGCATTTCAATTAACAGGTGTGCCTTCTTAAAAGTTGATTTGTGGAATTTCTTTCTTTCTTAATGCGTTTGAGCCAATCAGTTGTGTTGTGACAAGGTAAGGTGGGTATACAGAAGATAGCCCTATTTGGTAAAAGACCAAGTCCATATTATGGCAAGAACAGCTCAAATAAGCAAAGAGAAACGACAGTCCATCATTACTTTAAGACATGAAGTTCAGTCAATACGGAACATTTCAAGAACTTTTAATGTTTCTTCAAGTGCAGTCGCAAAAACCATCAAGCGCTATGATGAAACTGGCTCTCATGAGGACCGCCACAGGAAAGGAAGACCCAGAGTTACCTCTGCTGCAGAGGATGAGTTCATTAGAGTTAACTGCACCTCAGATTGCAGCCCAAATAAATGCTTCACAGAGTTCAAGTAACAGACACATCTCAACATCAACTGTTCAGAGGAGACTGCGTGAATCAGGCCTTAATGGTCGAATTGCTGCAAAAAAAAACACTACTAAAGGACACCAATAACAAGAAGAGACTTGCTTGGGCCAAGAAACACGAGCAATGGACATTAGACCGGTGGAAATCTGTCCTTTGGTCTGATGAGTCCAAATTTGAGATTTTTGGTTCCAACTGCTGTGTCTTTGTGAGACGCAGAGTAGGTGAACAGATGATCTCCGCATGTGTGCTTCCCACCATGAAGCATGGAGGAGGAGGTGTGATGGTGTGTGTGTGCTTTGCTGGTGACACTGTCAGTGATTTATTTAGAATTCAAGGCACACTTAACCAGCATGACTACCACAGCATTCTGCAACAATACACCATCCCATTTGGTTTGCGCTTTGTGGGACTATTATTTGTTTTTCAACAGGACAATGACCCAAGACACACATCCAGGCGGTGTAAGGGCTATTTGACCAAGAAGGAGAGTGATGGAGTGCTGCATCAGATGACCTGGCCTCCACAATCACCCGATCTCAACCCAATTGAGATGGTTTGGGATGAGTTGGACCGCAGAGTGAAGGAAAAGCAGCCAACAAGTGCTCAGCATATGTGGGAACTCCTTCAAGACTGTTGGAAAACCATTCCTCATGAAGCTGGTTGAGAGAATGCCAAGAGTGTTCAAAGCTGTCATCAAGGCAAAGGGTGGCTACTTTGAAGAATCTCAAATATAAAATATTTTTTGGGGTTACTACATGATTTCATATGTGTTATTTCATAGTTTTGATGTCTTCACTATTATTCCACAATTTAGAAAATAGTACAAATAAAGAAAAACCCTTGAATGAGTAGGTGTGTCCAAACTTTTGACTGGAACTGTATATCAATCAATAACTATGTGTCTTTACCTGTTGGATGGAAGTTGCAGGCTGGATGGGGCGGTATAGGACTTGGGTCCTCTCCCTTTTCAGAGAGAGATACGAATTTAGAAGAGATATAATGCTTCTTTTCACATACAGTATGTCAAAGAGAGCAGAAATGCCAATACCTAAAACAGAAAAACTTGAAAACTAGAGAGAGAAAACGAGGCTGGAAAAAGCATCTCAGACTACGGCAATTTGACTGGTACGCTTTGAATTCAATTGTAATGCCCTTTCTAGTAATTTTGATTCTATGGCTGTAACAGTTCCATCTACCACTCTCTGCTTACACTGGACTGGGGACATTAACACTAACAGTACCAGCAACAACATGCTGTCTATTCTCTCTGCTTACACTGGACTGGGGAGAGCCTTCTGATGGACTTGTCTCCTGCAGGCAGGTTAGCCAGGCCGGGCAGCCGCTCCCCGTCTCTGTTGTCCCGGGGCAGCTGTGAGGGGGGCAGGGTGGGACGCAGGAAGGACGGCACATGGTGGGGGGGCAGGCGGGTGGCCTGGGGGCACTGGCCAGGACCCCAGTCGTAGCCTACAGTGCAACATGGACAGGATGGGATGGATACAGATTAGTAATGAGAGGCAGGTATGTGGTGTTACAGAGAAGTTCATACAATATGTATCTAATGTACTGAAGGCAGAGAAGAGAGACAAAGAGATGAGTAGAGAAGTGAGGAGAAGAGAAGAGAAGAGAAGAGAAGAGAAGAGAAGAGAAGAGAAGAGAAGAGAAGAGAAGAGAAGAGAAGAGAAGAGAAGAGAAGAGAAGAGAAGAGAAGAGAAGAGAAGAGAAGAGAAGAGAAGTGGAAGAGAAGAGAAGAGAAGAGAGGAGAGGAGAGGAGAGGAGAGGAGAGGAGAGGAGAGGAGAGGAGAGGAGAGGAGAGGAGAGGAGAGGAGAGGAGAGGAGAGGAGAGGAGAGGAGAGGAGAGGAGAGGAGAAAAGAAGGGAGGAGAAGAGAACAAGAGAAGAGAGGAGAAGAGAGGAGAATAGAACAAGAGAAGAGAAGAGAGGAGAGGAGAAGAGAAGAGAGGAGAAGGGAGGAGAAGAGAACAAGAGAGGAGAGGAGAAGAGAAGAGAGGAGAAGGGAAGAGAGGAGAAGAGAGGAGAAGGGAGGAGAGGAGAAGAGAGGAGAAGAGAAGAGAGGAGAAGAGAAGGGAGGAGAAGAGAAGACCTTGAGAAGACCTACTCTACCATTGAGGGTAAACTGCATCCTGCTCCTCACATAATCAGCCATCAGGTGCTGCAGGTACTCCGACTGTAAAATCGAAACCAAGACAAGCCAATCATTCACATTACGTACTGTAGTGTAAAACAAAGCGTTTTCGGCTTTGACTTGTCAATAAGAGTTCTACCTTCGATGTCATGGCCGGCCTCTTGGTGTCAAAGACAAAGTATAGGACAGACACCTGGAGGAAACACGCATGGTGGACGGTGATACATGCTCTGAACATGATCATCATGATAAAGGAATAACTGACGGATGCAGAAATAAACACATGCTTAAGAAGTATGCTTAGTTACATGTACATCAGGACATTCAGTGATTCAAATGAATATCATGTTGTGAGTGTGAATGTGGGAACGCAGTATTCTCCTACACCACTTGAGGGGGGTAAGAGAATGATGAAAAATATAACCAGGGTAACAGCATTTCTCTCCGTTCAGAAGGAACGATAGACTACCTTCTTATCTGGAGGACTGGGCTCAGGCGGGACCAGTTGTCTCTCCCTCCATTTTGGAGGCTCCCTCCTGGGCACTACTGGAGGAGCCTTTAACTGGAACACAAACAGAGGCCCCGTACACACTCAGGTTCTACAACTGATGTACAACACATTCGACACAATGGTTGTAGCTAATTCAACAGATATTTTCTGATGAACTTGACTGCACAAAAAATGTTAACAGAACCGTAGCGGTGACACCACACAATGTTGGTGTAAACATTTTTGTGAAAAGTGTGTATGGGGCTAGAGAGAGAGAGGGAGTGAAAGTGACACCACTTGTCTCTACACTCTTAGAAAAAAGGCAGTGGGAGGATATTTTTTTAATTCCAGGTAGAACCCTTTTTGGTCCCAGGTAGAAAGAACGCTTTTGAGTTCCATGTAAAATCCTCTGTGGAAAGGGTTCTACATGGAACCAAAACGGTTCTACCTGGAACTAAATGAACATTTCCACTGCATTTCAGCCCTGCCACAAAAGGACCAGCTGCCATCATGTCAGTGATTCTCTCGTTAACACAGGTGAGAGTGTTGACGAGGACAAGGCTGGAGATCACTCTGTCATGCTGATTGAGTTAGAATAACAGACTGGAAGCTTTAAAATGAGGGTGGTGCTTGAAATCATTGTTGTTCCTCTGTTAACCATGATCACCTGCAAGGAAACACGTGCCGTCATCATTGCTTTGCACAAAAAGGGCTTCACAGGCAAGGATATTGCTGCTAGTAAGATTGCACCTTGTCACGATCGTCGAACACAGAGGACCAAGGCGCAGCGTGGAATGCGAACATACTTTTATTTTTTATGATCACACGAACAAAACAACAAAACGATACGTGACGTCCTTGGCAATAGACACTAACCAAACACGGAACAAGATCCCACCATAACTGGACCAAGCAGCGTGTCCAGGAGCCAACGCCAGAGAGGGCTCTAAAGGATATCAACCTCGACTGGGTCAAGCCGCGGGAGGAGGAGAGAGGCTGGTCTTGGGAGCAGAGGAGCGAGAGTCTGGCGAGAGCCATGGAGGCCTGGCCCACGGGGAGGAGAGACGCCCAGAATTTTTTTAGGGGGGGGCTCACGCTGTGGACGACGGGGCAGCAGGAGGCCGGGATAGAGTGGTTCAGCGGGTTGGCAAAGGAGGCCGCCAGGTTACGGGAGTCACTGGTCACCAGGGGGAAGGAGAATGTAGAGGCACGGCGAGAGGTACTGGGGTGTGTTGCCAGTCCGGTCCGGCCCGTTCCTGATCCCCGCGTAGGGCCAGTGGTGTGTGTCCCCAGTACGGTCCGGCTTGTTCCTGTCCCTCGCACCGAGCCTGTGGTGCGCGTCGCCAGCCCGGTCCGGCATGTTCCTGCCCCTCGCACCAAGCCTGTGGTGCGCGTCGTCAGCCCGGTCCGGCCTGTTCCTGCTCCCCGCACCAAGCCAGTGGTGCGCTTCGTCAGCCCGGTTCGGCCCGTCCCTGCTCCCCGCACCAAGCCAATGGTGCGCGTCGTCAGCCCGGTCCGGCCTGTTCCTGCTCCCCGCACCAAGCCAGTGGTGCACTTCGTCAGCCCGGTTCGGCCCGTCCCTGCTCCCCGCACCAAGCCTATGGTGCGCGTCGTCAGCCCGGTCCGGCCCGTCCCTGCTCCCCGCACCAAGCCTGTGGTGCGCGTCGTCAGTCCGGCACAGCCCGTGCCTGTTCCACCGGTGCCTGGTCCGGCACCGGTCAGCTGCTCCACTCCGGAGCTAGAGCAATCCGCTCCACCAGTGTTCAGTCCAGCTCCGGCCAGCAGGGCCAGACCGGACCAGGGGCGCTTTGGGGGGTTTGTTGGAGGGTTGGGGTCAAGCCCGGAGCCGGAACCGCCTCCGAGGAGGAATGCCCACCCGGCCCTCCCCTGTTCGGTTTATGTTTGGCGCGGTCGCAGTCCGCGCCTTTGGGGGGGGGTACTGTCACGCCCTGGCTCTGGGACTCTGTTATGTTGAGCCAGGGTGTGTGGTTTCTATGTGTTTTGTGTGCTAGGGTGTTTATCTAGTTCATTTGTTTCTATGTTGGCCGGTGTGGATCTCAATCAGAGGCAACGTGAATCAGCTGTTGCTTGTTGTCTCTGACTGGGAACCATACTTAGGTAGCCTGTTTTGCCACAGTGTTTGTGGGATCTTGTTCCGTGTTTGGTTAGTGATTATTGCCAAGGACGTCACGTATCGTTTTGTTGTTTTGTTCGTGTGATCATTAAAAATAAAAGTATGTTCGCATTCCACGCTGCGCCTTGGTCCTCTGTGTTCGACGATCGTGACACACCTAAATCAACCATTTATCGGATCATCAAGAACTTCAAGGAGAGAGGTTCAATTGTTGTGAAGAAGGCGTCAGGGCGCCCAAGAAAGTCCAGCAAGCGCCAGGACCGTCTCCTAAAGTTGATTCAGCTGTGGGATCGGAGCACCACTAGTGCAGAGCTTGCTCAGGAATGGCAGCAGGCAGATGTGAGTGCATCTGCACGCTCAGTGAGGCGAAGACTTTTGGAGGATGGCCTGGTGTCAAGAAGGGCAGCAAAGAAGCCACTTCTCTCCAGGAAAAACATCAGGGACAGACTGATATTCTGCAAAAGGTACAGGGATTGGACTGCTGAGGACTGGGGTAAAGTAATTTTCTCTGATGAATCCCCTTTCCGATTGTTTGGGGCATCCGGAAAACACCTTGTCCGGAGAAGACAAGGTGAGCACTACCATCAGTCCTGTGTCATGCCAACAGTAAAGCATCCTGAGACCATTCATGTGTGGGGTTGCTTCTCAGACAAGGGAGTGGGCTCACTCACAATTTTGCCTAAGAACACAGCCATGAATAAAGAATGGTACCAACACATCCTCCGAGAGCAACTTCTCCCAACCATCCAAGAACAGTTTGGTGACGACCAATGCCTTTTCCAGCATGATGGAGCACCTTGCCATAAGGCAAAAGTGATAACTAAGTGGCTCGGGGAATAAAACATCAACATTTTGGGTCCATGGCCAGGAAACTCCCCAGACCTTAATCCCATTGAGAACTTGTGGTCGATCCTCAAAAGGCGGGTGGACAAACAAAAACCCACAAATTCTGACAAACTCCAAGCATTGATTATGCAAGAATAGGCTGCCATCAGTCAGGATGTGGCCCAGAAGTTAATTGACAGCATGCCAGGGCGGATTGCAGAGGTCTTGAAAAAGAAGGGTCAACACTGCAAATATTGACTCTTTGCATAAACTTAATGTAATTGTCAATAAAAGCCTTTGACACTTATGGAATGCTTGTAATTATACTTCACTATACCATAGTAACAACTGACAAAAATATCTCATAACACTGAAGCAGTGAACTTTGTGAAGACCAATACCTGTGTCATTCACAAAACTTTTGACCACGACTGTACAGCGCATTCAGAAGAATTCAGACCCCTTTACTTTTTCCACATTTTGTTACGTTGCAGCCCTGTTGAAAAATTGATTAAATCTACACACAATACCCCATAATGACAAAGCAAAAACAGCCTTTTAGAATATTTTGCAAATTTATATAAATAAATAAAAAGTTAATATTACATTTACATAAGTATTCAGACCCTTTACTCAGTACGTTGTTGAAGCACCTTTGGCAGCGATTACAGCCTCAAGTCTTCTTGGGTATGACGCTACAAGGTTGGCACACCTGTATTTGGGGAGTTTCTCCCATTCTTCTCTGCAGATCCTCTCAATCTCTGTCAGGTTGGATTGGGAGCGTCGCTGCACAGCTATTTTCAGGTCTCTCCAGAGATGTTCGATCAGGTTCATGTGCGGCCTCTGGCTGGGCCACTCAAGGACATTCAGAGACTTGTCCCAAAGCCACTCCTGTGTTGTCTTGGCTGTGTGCTTAGGGTCGTTGTCCTGTTGGAAGGTGAACCTTCACCCCAGTCTGAGGTCCTGAGCTCTCTGGTTGTCAGGTTGGATTGGGAGCGTCGCTGCACAGCTATTTTCAGGTCTCTCCAGAGATGTTCGATCAGGTTCATGTGCGGCCTCTGGCTGGGCCACTCAAGGACATTCAGAGACTTGTCCCAAAGCCACTCCTGTGTTGTCTTGGCTGTGTGCTTAGGGTCGTTGTCCTGTTGGAAGGTGAACCTTCACCCCAGTCTGAGGTCCTGAGCTCTCTGGAGCAGGTTTTCATCAAGGATCTCTCTGTACTTTGCTCCGTTCATTTTTCCCTCTATCCTAGTCTCCCAGTCCTTGCCGCTGAAAAACATCCCCACAGCATGATGCTGCCACCACCATGCTTCACCGTAGGGATGGTGCCAGGTTTCCTCCAGACGTGACATTTGGCATTCAGGCCAAAGAGTTCAATCTTGGTTTCATCAGAACAGAGAATCTTGTTTCTCATGGTCTGAGAGTCCTTTAGGTGCCTTTTGGCAAACTCCAAGCAGGCTGTCATGTGCCTTTTACTGAGGAGTGGCTTCCGTCTGATTGGTGGAGTGCTGCAGAGATGGTTGTCCTTCTGGAAGGTTCTCCAGTCTCCACAGAGGAACTCTAGAGCTCTGTCAAAGTGACCATTGGGTTCTTGGTCACCTCCCTGACCAAGGCCCTTCTCCCCGATTGCTCAGTTTGGCCGGGCGGCCAGCTCTAGGAAGTCTTGGTGGTTCCAAACTTTTCCCATTTAAGAATGATGGAGGCCACTGTGTTCTTGGGGACCTTCAATGCTGCAGAAATGTTTTGGTACCCTTCCCCAGATCTGTGCCTCGACACAATCCTGTCTCAGAGCTCTACGGACAATTCCTTTGACCTCATGGCTTGGTTTTTGCTCTGACATGCACTGTCAACTGAGGGACCTCATATAGACAGGTGTGCGCCTTTCCAAATCATGTCCAATCAATTGAATTTACCACAGGTGGACTCCAATCAAGTTGTAGAAACATCTCAAGGATGATCAATGGAAACAGGATGCACCTGAGCTCAAATTTGAGTATCATAGCAAAGGGTCTGAATACTTATTTTTAATACATTTGCAAAAAATTTATAAAAACTTGTTTTCGCTTTGTCATTATGGGGTATTGTGTGTAGATTGATGAGGACATTTTAGAATAAGGCTGTAACGTAACAAAATGTGGAAAAGGGGAAGAGGTCTGAATACTTTCCCAATGCACTGAACTTGGGAGTTCCTCTTCCTTTTCATTGCCTATGATGTGTAAAACATTGGGACTTACAGGCTTCAATACATATTTGCTTTTCTCCAACGTCCCTTTGACACCATTATCCTGTAATGTAAAAGGATAGCAAAAATTAAGACGAACTAACAAAGGAAACCTATCCGTACTTCTAAAGGACATATCTGGTCCATATTCAGAGTGAGAGCATGACCCAACCATCCCACTGATTATACTCACCCCCTTCTCCTCCCTGACCCTGACCAGGTGAGATCTGTTCCTCTCCTTCTTGGACTTCAGCTTCTTACGGGACACCATCTATGTTATAGAGAGAATACAGACAGACCGGTGAGTTATTAGTCACTTCGGAACTCCAACCCAGACAGAAACGTTTTGTTAGCGAGACAGTAATACTACTGCTACCAGTTACTACCACTGTTACTACCTTGTTGAAGGCCTGGAGGTGAGCAGGAGGTCTGTCTGTCTGGGAGCTGTTGGATCCACTGGCGCTGGCCTCGTGGTCAGTCAGTGAGGTATCTGTAGGCTCATTGTCTATTGGCAGACCTGCCTCCTGTCTCATAATCTCCTGTAGCTCTCTCAAACACGTGCTGTACTGCAGAAACAACAGACCAGTGAGACTGGTGAGATCTGCTTCAATATAGATACTGTGCTTACACTGTGAACAAGCAGATATCGGCAGGACTACAGACAGTTGTGTCTGGTTCTGGTCCCACCTTTGTCCGGTCCGGGTCACAGTAGTCCAGTAGTGTGTCACAGAACTGAGCCCCCAACATCTCCAGGTCCTGAGTGCTGAAATGGGTCCCCTTCCTCTTACCTGGAATCAAACCAAAAGTGAACATCTTTGGTCTGACTGAATCTGACTGGTAAACCCTGAGACGTGTGGAGTTTACTCTGAATCAAGTAAAGTACTTTAGTTATAACAAGTCTATCAAATGTTTCCTTTCCATTCATGTAACTAAAGTTTGGTAGACAAAATCTAGCTCCACTGTGTCTCTGTCTCTCTCTCTCTTCCGCTAGAGAGACATGGCAGAGATGCAGTGATGTGGTGGATATCCTTACCGATGTTGGAGCCACAGAAGGATGTCTCCAGGGTGAAGGAGTTGAGGACCCCCAGCCTCCACAGAGACACTCTGCCTGTTCCCTCCTTACTGCGCTGTACCTTGAATTTACAGCTCCCGAACGAGAACTGAGGACACACAAAGATACAATGTTTGAGCAGCCAGTCTTTTGTGAAGATTAGCTTAATCTTGGAAAACCCAACAGCCAACATGAGAAAGAACTAGGCAGTTCAGATCAAGCTAAATTGTGTGATCTTATCTCGGCCGTTTCATCTGAACTGGGCCTGTATTCATAAAGCGTCTCAGAGTAGGAGTGCTAATCTAGGATCAGTTTTGCCTTTTAGATCAGAATGAATAAGATTATATGGACAGGGGAGACCTGATCCTAGATCAGTACTCCTACTCTGATACTCTTTGTGGATACGGGCCCTGGCCTTGGCTAATGGGGGATAGAACAATGAGTGAGGAAGAGTCATTAACCATGTCAGGGCAATTCTTGCTGAGCATCAGAGAGAAGACTCGTTCGTGAGGGTGTCTGTCAGCGGACCGGGGTTTCTCACAGCCGTAGGTGAAGACGTTGTGTTTACGGCTGTGTCCATGGAGATCACAGTACAGCAGCACCTTACGCTCCTCACACAGTCTGGAGGACATACGTGATATTATTGGCTGACTGATTGGTCTAACTGATCGATTGATTGGTTAACTGATTTATGGATAGATTGGTTGAATGATTGATACCTCTGGACCATGGTGTGCGTGGCCCACACGGTAGGGAAGGATTCTCTGAGGATGGACTTGTAGCTACGGTTGAGGTCTCGTCCGGTCAGCGAGCAGCGGTAGTTACCTACTATGACCCCGTCCGGGTTCAGCATGGGCACCAGCTTGAAGACGAAGGCATCTCGGAGCAGCGCCGCGTCCGGAGAGTCTCCCAGCAGGAAGTTCAGGACGCCCTTCATCACCCAGGAGCTGTTGGTCGGTTGTATTTAATGTTTGAATGTGTACGTTTGTATATTTGATGTATAGTATGGCACTTTATCAGAGTTATCCTACCATGCTGTACGGAATGAAAATAACACTTATCTTAGATTGTGTGGCAATGAACAAATCGGAATCTGAATTTGGTCAAAAGCAGTGCACTGTATAGAGCCCTCACACTCAACTCTGGACCACGAAGCCAGTTCCACTGCATTTTCATTGTTCCCCTCTAATCAGGGACTGATTTAGACCTGGGACACCAGGTGGGTGTAATTCATTATCAGGTAGAACAGAAAACCAGCAGGCTCCGGACCTCGTTGGGTAAGAGTTGAATAGCCCTGATATACAGAATAGAGTGCCATTTCAGACACGCCCAACCACTACCTGTTGGTCTCTACCTGTTGGTCTCTACCTGTTGGTCTCTACCGGTTGGTGTCTACCTGTAGGTTTCCCCAGGGTGTCTCTACCTGTTGGTCTCTACCGGTTGGTGTCTACCTGTAGGTTTCCCCAGGGTGTCTCTACCTGTTGGTCTCTACCGATTGGTGTCTACCTGTAGGTTTCCCCAGGGTGTTTCTATCTGTTGGTCTCTACCTGTTGGTCTCTACCGGTTGGTGTCTACCTGTATGTCTCCCTGGGGTGTCTCTACCTGTTGGTCTCTATCTGTTGGTCTCTACCTGTTGGTCTCTACCTGTTGGTCTCTACGTGTTGGTCTCTACGTGTTGGTCTCTACCTGTTGGTCTCTACCTGTTGGTCTCCCCGGGGTGTCTCTACCTGTTGGTCTCTATCTGTTGGTCTCTACCTGTTGGTCTCCCCGGGGTGTCTCTACCTGTTGGTCTCTACCTGTTGGTCTCTATCTGTTGGTCTCTACCTGTTGGTCTCTACCTGTTGGTCTCTACGTGTTGGTCTCTACCCGTTGGTCTCTATCTGTTGGTCTCTACCTGTTGGTCTCTACCTGTTGGTCTCTACCTGTTGGTCTCTATATGTTGGTCTCTATATGTTGGTCTCTACCTGTTGGTCTCTACGTGTTGGTCTCTACGTGTTGGTCTCTACCTGTTGGTCTCTACCTGTTGGTCTCTCTACCTGTTGGTCTCTCTACCTGTTGGTCTCTATCTGTTGGTCTCTACCTGTTGGTCTCTACGTGTTGGTCTCTACCTGTTGGTCTCTACCTGTTGGTCTCTCTACCTGTTGGTCTCTCTACCTGTTGGTCTCTATCTGTTGGTCTCTACCTGTTGGTCTCTACGTGTTGGTCTCTACCCGTTGGTCTCTATCTGTTGGTCTCTACCTGTTGGTCTCTACGTGTTGGTCTCTACCTGTTGGTCTCTACCTGTTGGTCTCCCCGGGGTGTATCCGGGCGGTCAGCACCACAGCAGGCTTGTGACTCCTGTCCTCTCGGTGGGATGGGTTGGTCACCGTCAGCACCGGAACCAGGTTACCCGCAAGCGACCGGCACAGGGTCCGCACCTTACAGAACCGCGAGCGGCGGGGGTCCCGCTCGATCTCGGACAGGTGGGCCCACAGGTTGGAGTAGGTGTAAGGGTAGCAGTGGGCCAGGTAACAGGTATCCTGGTCGTAAGGGCGACATTAATAACAACTTCACTGTATTGTAAATAGATTGCATTATATTGTGTATTTGAAGAAAAGTATAATAATATCCTGTATATTGATAATGATATATTGTAACATGTTTATACCTGGTTCTAACATGCATCCTTTGTCCTGATCTTCTCCACATTCTGATTGTGCCCACATTTTTAGACAGGTGTAGGATTAAAATATGCATTGTGATCTGATTGTGATCAGATCTTCCTGACCACCTCCAGAGATAGTCAGGCACGCATTTTGTCTGGATATCTTACCAGTGTAGACAGATCTGGACAGAGAAACCATTTAAATCCTCTTTATCCCGCCTTCTAAAATCATTGACAGGTGGTACCATTGATTTATGGCATCAATATGTAAAATGTAAATAAATACATCCATATTATTTTGAAATAATAGTTGTCAAATAATTTGCATACAGGGATGGTCCAGGAAATCTAGTCACAATGGACAGATATGAGACATTTTAATTTTAATTTAATTTAATTTTTTTATGTTTCATCTGACCATATGACATTCTCCCAATCCTCTTCTGAATCATCCAAATGCACTCTAGCAATCTTCAGACGGGCCTGGACATGTACTGGCTTAAGCAGGGGGACACGTCTGCACTGCAGGATTTGAGTCCCTGGCGGCGTAGTGTGTTACTGATGGTAGGCTTTGTTACTTTGGTCCCAGCTCTCTGCAGGTCATTCACTAGGTCCCCCCGTGTGGTTCTGGGATTTTTGCTCACCGTTCTTGTGATCATTTTGACCCCACGGGGTGAGATCTTGCATGGAGCCCCAGATCGAGGGAGATTATCAGTGGTCTTGTATGTCTTCCATTTCCTAATAATTGCTCCCACAGTTGATTTCTTCAAACCAAGCTGCTTACCTATTGCAGATTCAGTCTTCCCAGCCTGGTGCAGGTCTACAATTTTGTTTCTGGTGTCCTTTGACAGCTCTTTGGTCTTGGCCATAGTGGAGTTTGGAGTGTGACTGTTTGAGGTTGTGGACAGGTGTCTTTTATACTGATAACAAGTTCAAACAGGTGCCATTAATACAGGTAACGAGTGGAGGACAGAGGAGCCTCTTAAAGAAGAAGTAACAGGTCTGTGAGAGCCAGAAATCTTGCTTGTTTGTAGGTGACCAAATACTTATTTTCCACCATAATTTGCAAATAAATTCATTAAAAATCCTACAATGTGATTTTCTGGATTTTTTTTCTCAATTTGTCTGTCATTGTTGACGTGTACCTATGATGAAAATTACAGGCCTCTCTCATCTTTTTAAGTGGGAGAACTTGCACAATTGTTGGCTGACTAAATACTTTTTTTCCCCACTGTATGGAATAAACTAAACGTACAGTCAATAACACAATATAAAATCTATATACAGTGTGTGCAAATGTAGTAAGTTATGGAGGTAAGGCAATAAATAGGCCATAGTGCAAAATAATTACAATTTAGTATTAACACTAGAGTGATAGATGTGCAGAAGATGATGTGCAAATAGAGATACTGGGGTGCAAATGAGCAAAATAAATAACAATGTAAATAACAATATGGGGATGAGGTAGTTGGTTGGGCTAATTACAGATGGGCTGTGTACAGGTGCAGTGATCGGTAAGCTGCTCTGACAACTGATGCTTAAAGTTAGTGAGGGAGATAAGTGTCTCCAGCTTCAGAGATTTTTGCAGTTCGTTCCAGTCATTTGCAGCAGAGAACTGTAAGGAATGGCGGCCAAAGGAGGTGTTGGCTTTGGGGATGACCAGTGAGATATACCTGCTGGAACGCATACTATGGGTGGGTGTTGCTATGGTGACCAATATTCTAAGATAAGGCGGGGATTTACCTAGAAGTGATTTATAGATGACCTGGAGCCAGTGGGTTTGGCGACGAATATGTAGTGAGGGCCAGCCAACGAGAGCGTACAGGTCACAATGGTGGGTAGTATATGGGGCTTTGGTGACAAAACAGATGGCACTGTGATAGACTACATCCAATTTGCTGAGTAGAGTGTTGGAAGCTATTTTGTAAATGGATCGGTAGGATAGTCAGTTTTACGAGGGCATGTTTAGCAGCATGAGTGAAGGAGGCTTTGTTGCGAAATAGGAAGCTGATTCTAGATTCAACTTTGGATTGGAGATGCTTAATGTGAGTCTGGAAGGAGAGTTTACGGTCTAACCAGACACCTAGGTATTTGTAGTTGTCCACATATTCTAGGTCAGACCCGCCGATAGTAGTGATTCTAGTCGGGCGGGCGGGTGCAAGCAGCGTTCGATTGAAGAGCATGCATTTAGTTTTACTAGCGTTTAAGAGCAGTTGGAGGCCACGAAAGGAGTGTTGTGTGGCATTGAAGCTCGTTTGGAGGTTTGTTAACACAGTGTCCAATGAAGGGCCAGATGTATACAAAATGGTGTCGTCTGCGTAGAGGTGGATCTGAGAGTCACCAGCAGCAAGAGCGACATCATTGATATACACAGAGAATAGAGTCGGCCCGAGAATTGAACCCTGTGGCACCTCCATAGAGACTGCCAGAGGTCCAGACAACAGGCCCTCTGATTTGACACATTTAACTCTATCTGAGAAGTAGTTGGTGAACCAGGCGAGGCAGTCATTTGAGAAACAAAGGATATTTAGTCTGCCAATAAGAATGCGGTGATTAACAGAGTCAAAAGCCTTGGCCAGGTCGATGAAGACGGCTGCACAGTACTGTCTTTTATCAATCGCGGTTATTATATCGTTTAGGAACTTGAGCGTGGCTGAGGTGCACCCATGACCAGCTCGGAAACCAGATTGCATAGCGTATGAAATGTATGAAATGTATGAAAATGTATGCACTCACTAACTGTAAGTCGCTCTGGATAAGAGCGTCTGCTAAATGACTAAAATGTAAAATGTAAATGTAAGAGGGGGATGACCGCGGCAGCTTTCCAATCTCTGGGGATCTCAGACGATACGAAAGAGAGGTTGAACAGGCTAGTAATAGGGGTTGCGACAATATGAATACCATGTGTAGACATATTTCTGAAACTGTGGGCACAATCAGAATGTAGACAAAGGATTTAAGTCAGTGCTGGCCCTTTTTTCTATTTATGATGTAATTGATTGTTGGCTCCAAGCACCGTTTCATTGATTTACACAAGACAAGAGGATAAGAGTTGAGCACTGTGGTTCTTGCCCTTTACCTGGTCATAAGGGAAGCAGAAGGTCCAGGAGAGGGAGTAGCAGGGCTGGTTGGCGTGTTGGCGTCCGTTACGTTGGTAGGAGACCTGTTGGCCCACGCGATGCCAGCCCACCCCCTGGACACGGGCCTCCTCCTCAGAGTAGAGCAGAGGCAGCTGGCCCTCTTCATACAGACTGGTCACCTTCAAATCAAATCAACATTTATTCATTTTTATTATTTATTAAGTGTCAAGCTACTGTATGTCACATGAACATGTTGTAAAACATTTTACTACAGAAAGAGAGAAAAGAAAGACAAAATGGTGATAACAACCTACCTTCAGCAGGTTGGTGATGGTGAAGCGGTAAAGCACCCCTGCCCTCGTGTTCCTCACCCGGAAGTAGAACCACTGAGTGTGCTTCTCCGTGTACAGGTCCGTCCGCAGGGAGAGCTCGTAATCAAATTCACCACTGGAATGAAATGAAATAACATTATACAGAATGTAAATGACTGTGGACATTCATTCACTCAGAACTAGGATGCGTGACAACATGAGAGGATTGAAATCGAATCACACAACACAGAATATAAGTGGTGGTGAGTGAACATTCATTCACTCAGAACTTTGAATGACAGTGTGAGAGGGTTGACAATTCATATGGATGCTCTGTACTCACACCCTTGTTGCTTTCAGCAGGTTGCCACTCTCGAAGCGTCCCTCAAACAGCAGAGTGATGTCATCAGGTCCAGAGAGAGACACAGCAGCAGCGGTCAGGGAGGAGCGACGGCCCCCCACACGAGAACCCAGGAAGTAGTTATCCTTATCTGCATAGACATGGACATTTAAAACAAAGAGACATGACGCACTGTATGTGTCCTGGGGATGAGCAGACCTGGGTGCAAATAGCATTTGTTTCTTTCCAGGTGCGCTTGATTGAGCTTGACTGGCGCAGTGGAATCAATGGAGTAGTCCTCCCATCTGGCGCTCCAAACAAAACAAACAGCCTACTATTTTAACCCAGGCAGGTCTGTGGTAGAGCTCAGTGATTGACAGATCTGACACTTGATTGGAGTTACCTCTCTGTGTGTCATACACGACAGTGCCTTCCTCTTCAGACTCTGGTCTCAGCCACTCGTTGGTGTTCATCTGAGCACACAGCGGCTCTGGGAAGGGAGGAGCCCACTCTGACAACAGAGACAAGAGAAGACAAAAGAGGGAGTGCTGCTTTGCTTTGTGAAAAATTTAAATAAAAAGGTGCTCTTTGGATCTAAGATTGAGAGCTTTTCCTGAATCTCTTTTCAGTACATGAAGTGCTTTTGTAATGTGACATTGACTCTTATTTGACTCTGGTCTAAAGTCTAGCTTTCCTCTAAACGATTATACATCTCTTGAGACCTCCAATTTCTCTTTAGTCTGTAGTATTCTCACCAATATGCTGTATTTCCCCCGGGATGACCTCCCACTCGTGGGGCCAGCGTGGCAGGGTTTGGGACACATGTCCAGACACACCGTACAGGTGACGGGGCTCCCTGAGGCGAGGCACAGCCCTTCCCGACTGGATCTCAAATACCACCTGGGTGGTTCTGGGTAGTGGAGAAACACGTGACACATCTGTGTGGGAAGAAGTTTGGATTTCAGCCAATATGGTGAGCAGTTTCGGAAGCAATTACAATACTTGTAGCTTCATGACTAGTTTAACTACATTTTCCATTGGTTTGGTGAAAGTTAGTTAGTAATTTCCAAACCATGTAGTTAATTCAGTGGTTTCATTGTTCTTTGAAACTTTAATGATACAATAGACTTTTAAAAAACATACATTTCTTACAGCTCTACCTTTGACAGTGAAAACGAACAACCAAGCTATGGTTGGTGCTATGTGCCCTCCTGTACTTGGATTCTATCTTACCTTTACTCTTGTGGGAACACTCCTCCTCTGCAGGTGCCTTCAACTGTTCTTCATCCTCCAACTCCTCCTCTTCATCATCAAAATACGAGTAGCTGAAAGAGCGATGACATGTTCTTCCATGAACGTTGTCCCTCATCTCATTGTCATCCCCTTTAAATCCTGTGGAATGGCAGGATCATTTATCTCATTTTGAATGTACATCAGGGTAATCACACTCAACGAGACTGCAAGCTTTCATAAACATGCATGAATCTCATTACATAATCTCGCTGTCAAGATCATACTAACCCTCATATTGCCTGTTGCAGAGAGGATACATCCTTTCATTGCAGATGCATGTCTTTTTAGAATGGTTTCTACATCTGTGTACCTGTAGCTATCTTTGTATTGTTGCCCATGGTACTTTTGGTATCATGAATATAGCTTTCTGAAATAGTCACATATAGGTTATGACTGTGAAGTCTGCTTCAAAAAAGCATAGTAAAGATGAGTCAGGCAAACCCAGCAGGATACATTTTTTACAGTTGCAATATCAATTTACATAGTGGTTTGAGGGCAGATTTCCAAAATACCTCTACTTGGTATGCTGCTGCCAGCCAGACTGTAATTCAATCTGACTCCACAGAAATTCACCCCGTCACTTAAAACTTGCTGGCCTGATCTCATTTAGCAGCGTTGAACATTCAAAAAGATGAGACAAACTCTCCAGAAAGTCAGAGGTTAGCTAAATTAATTAGAATCTGACAGACGTCTTCCTGTGACATCATAACCCATCATGAATGGTGGTTTGGTTTCATTGACTTATGAACTGAGCAAAATAAGCTTCTACAACAAAAATATATATAAATAAAAAACAAAAAACAACAGGTAACGTTAAAATGCATTAATATCGTGATAACTAGGTTTAATTGGTTTAGCCAACAATTCAAGATTGCAAAAATAATGCTGACATTTTATTCATTCAGGACTTGGTCAACATCAGTCACCTGTGAAAGAACAAAACACAACACACACCAGTCAGTGGCACGTTAACGTTAGCTAGGCTAGCTAGCTAGTTAGCTAACGTCTTTGTTACTGTTTGGTTTAGGTGAAATTACAATAGCTAGTTATCAATATACTTCCTATGCAATTATTGAGTGAGTGCATTCGCTACCTACCGCATGCATCACTCAAGCTTGTCGCCTGCCATAGCATCATCGGCAGCGTGTTGTTTCAGGTGAAGACTGCAGAGCGGAAAATGCACCATTTACAGTACACGGTCACCATGACAACTAACGTGGCGCGAAATCCCCAACATTCTTCTACTTGTTATGTTGAAAGATACAATGTTTTATTTGAACGAAGGGCTACATTGTATCACATGTATCACAAGTATATCAATCAGTATAATACATAAAAAATAACAAGTATCCTCCTGCATGAGCGCACTAACATTTTTGTAACTTATATGGGAAGAAAAGCAGTGTTTTAAATTCCAATATTATTTGTGCACAATTAATCATTTCTGCTGCTTTTGTAAGAAGGTGTTGGGTGTCATCTCATAACTGTGAAACATGTCTTGTGGTGACAACAAATGACTGATTATCTGGCAGTAGTAATTTGATAGGAGGACCACAATGGAAATAAGTCCCAGAATTTATTGTGTGTTATCCTCGATGGTTTTACGCATGTGCATGTATGTCAAGTTTTATGTGTGCTTGTTTTTAAAATGGTCGAATTAATAAACTGAACTAAACGAGTCCTGGGGAGGTTGTCCTCCCAAGACGACCATTGTTGCAGAATAGTATACCTTCACAGTATATATTTCTACTGGTGGGCAGGCCTATAGAGAGGATTCCCTTTCCCAACACATATTTTCATTGAGTTATTTGCTGGAGTGGTCAATTCTCAACCACACTATAAAATGAGGGTATAGGCCTACTTGAAACTGTCAAGAGGATAGTGTCAGGTGTCAACAAGGGTAAAGAGATAAGGTCAATCACTACAGACAAAGAAGGGTAACGTTAGAACGCTCATACCATCATTATTATCTTAATTTATCTCTTACATTCATTATCTCTTGTGGTGTGAGGCACTCCTGTTCATCAGGCACTGCTGCTCTCAAGGTAGATATCATACACACTGTTCATTTGGTAATGGTCTGTAATGACCTGCCAGGTGTCAGGGAAGAGGGGGTTGTTATCAGGGTTCCTGAGCCAAGAGAGGATAAGGAGGGTTGAAAGACAACAGTGTTGGACACACACACACACACACACACACACACACACACACACACACACACACACACACACACACACACACACCCGTGTTGTATGTAACTTGCACCACTCTAAATGATTGATGTTGATGTTATTCATTTTATTTGTAATATGATCTACCTCTTCTAGGAACATTAAACCCAGGGTTGGAAAAATATATTTCCAGGTATTTACTTGTACTGCACCTAGTAAAATGGTTGTTACAAAGTTATAGCCTATGAATTAGGCTACTTGTCATTTTGTTTTGTTTCGAGATACAACCATTAACATTCTAGTATGGATCCAAACTAAATTGCTTCATGATGAAGTGAAACGGAACAATTCTGTTAGAATCCAGACTATAGATACATCCTAGAGAATCAGAAGAAGCATGTTGCCATGGGTTCATCACTCCATGAGTTCCATAAAGGCCACCAGAATGTGTGTCTGTTTATTTATAGGTGTCTCTAAGGTTCCCTAGCAGTGGTTTGCTTTCTGAGCTGGTTTCAGTTACACCACCTACTGCTCTGGAAAATTCATCACACACACACACACACACACACACACACACACACACACACACACACACACAGAGGGCTCTATGTGAGATACTATGATGTGATATCTATAGGTGGGAGTTCATGAGACTTTCTGTGCCCCGATAAGATGATGGTAACTGATGTCATGTAATATGCATTACAGTACATGCATGTATCGGTGATGTAACTATGCACACCACATGCATGGCAAGAGATTGTGTTGCCAGACAACAGTACACTTTTTTTATTTTTTTTAAGTGTGCAATTAACCCACTGTTTACAAATGGAGAAACTAGACATATATAAATCATTGAACCAACATGGTGGAAGCAACAGGCACAGGTGCTACTCAGACTGGGACAATGTTATAAAAGGTTAAACATGACCTGGATGTCAACAGTGACCACATTCATTACACGGGCCAGCTTGTGACACCCATGGTGGTGTCCACTGATTTCAGTAGGTTTTGGATTGAATTGTAGCTTCTACTTTTGTTGTTTAGAGTAAGGGAATGTAGAGTACTGTAGAGCATAAAGTAAATGTCAGCGTTATACAAAGGACAATATTGTCTATTCAATATAAGTTATTCGAGTGGCTTACTAACGATACAGTTACTCTGGAGTCACATTAGCCACACAGTCGAATAAAGTACATCCCGCCTACCATAGTTACTTGAGATTAAGTATTTATAATACAGCGTTGAACCATCCAGATGAGATGGGCTTGCTTGCCATGATCATGATCCATACAAGTCTGACCCTACTGGGACACCTGTCACCATCTGATTCTGCTAAGACATGATGATCATAGTGTTGTGTACTGATGGTGCACCATGACAGTGAAGCCTGTAGAGCTGTTTATTACTCTGTCAGTGTGAAAAGTAGGGAATTAGCTAGGGAAACTGACAGATCAATAACATCACATTGCTGTACTGACTCTAATAAAAACTCACATTGCAAAAAAATTATTTCTGCTAAATGACTAAAGATAATAAATAAAATAAATAGTGTGAAGGAGGCAAAAATAATACCTACTTTTGGCCAGCTCTCTCTCTAACGGTACATCAACTGGCGAAAGCTAGCTAAGTTAATTTACTTCTGTTGAAATGGGACAAAAAGGCTACAAAACATTTCCATACAAACAACAGCTGTTAGACAGTAATAATAGCCACCTCATATCGCTATCTGACAGATAGCTACAGGCTAGAGCTGACCTGGCTGTGGTAGCTACTAGCTAGCTAATTAATTCACCTCAGTCAACGGGGGATGAAACATTAGCTAACATTACATGTCAGTTACACTACTAGCTCAGCACTGGGAATAAACACTAGTTTAGTTTTTTTCTGTTAAGTTAAACAGCAGTTACTTTGCCAGCTACATCAATCAACTAAAGAGTAGCTAGGAGAAAGAGCGCAACACATACAGACTAACAGCAGCTGCCTCTGTTCAACTCTCCTGTGCTGGTCCAGCCAGCCTTTCAGAAGCTTTGCCTCCATACAGCCTGTCCGCCCGTTCTGTGGTGTCCACACGGTCCTAAATCCAGCAGGCTGAAACCTCCAAACAGCCTATGCGACCGCTCTGAGGCTTCCAAATGGTCCTAAAGCACACCGATGCCGTTTTTGGTATCACAGTGCAATGATAAAACTGGGGGGAACAACAATGCAATTTCAGAATGTGGGAGGGTCATGACCCCCCCGTCCCCAGTGAAAGTTGTGCCATTGCTAGATACAATACATAACATGAGTTATTACTCAAATAAAAATGAATGTTCCAGAAGAATACTGATGTCTTCCCCTGATTAACAACCGTGAAGAGGACAGTGTCTCAGTCTTGGAACTGATCCCTCTACAGATGCCAGGCAGGGCTTCGATTCACACCTGGGTTCAAACACTATTTGAAATCTTTCAAATACTTTAAGCGTTTGTGCTAGCCTGCCTGGGCAGGGTTTGCAGTATTGGGATTATTCTGTTGGTCGATTAAAGGCAGGTAAACTCATTCAAGCACAGAGAAAGTATGTGAAATAATTATAAATACTATTTAAGCCTTGGTCTGTTTGGATTGGAAGCTGCCGTCCGCCAATGCTGTCTACTAAAAAAGGGCAAAGGGCAAAGGGCTTGATTTAATTAAGCAGTGAAATCATTCTCGGAAGGAGCGTGAAGAGGAGCCGAGAAGATAGAATGTAGAATGCAGAGGAGGATATTCCGAGGAACTCATAGCCTTCCGGAACTAGAGTGTCGGGTTTCAAACCCTCTTGCGCCTGGTTGGTTAGCTACGTATCAGCAAAAATATGGCCATCAACTTCAGATGACGGCCTTCTAAAATGGGTATGTGACAATCAAATCCCCCAGGAACTGACAAGAA